GGACTCATCCGAAAAGCTACTCTCGCTAGACATAAGGGAAAACAGGCTGAGAAAAGAAGTAAGGAAAAAGAAAGAAGGAAAGACTCAAGGACTAACCGGAAATAGGCGAAACCGAGCTGAAAGACCCGAGCTGGAGACCTTAGACGCAAGCTCAAGGCGAAAAATGCTTAGCAGCGAAGAGAATGCCAAAACCCCGCTATTTATAGACGTGGGGCCCGGTGACCAACGGTCAAGATTGGATCAATCCAACGGACCTCAAAGAAACCGACTGTGAGACTCTCGATGCGAATTTGATTTAGCGCGTTTTTTGGCGTCCGCGCAGCATAAAGTGCCTGACGTCCGTGTGTGAGTTGCACGAGATGTGGGTTTTTCCCCCCGTAAAAGAACTGAATACCCAGCCGGTTCAGCCGTTAAACCGTCTAACGTGGCAGTGTGAGCCGTGAACTCCCCGCACTGGGGCCCCGTCCCCTCGACGGGAAGGAAACGCCAAGTCAAAGACTAACAACTCCCCGAGGACTAACACCTCGGTGAGTCCGACTCCTGCCTAGCTTGGAGAGCCCGAGCTCCCCCCAAAGGAACCCCAAGCTTTCCCCCGCCCGAGAGGGAGCACCTTGGTGCTTCCAGGCAGGGACCGATCTACGCCGAAGCAACCTAGTATGTGGTAGCTCGACAAGCTGCATGAAGGAGGGCAGGAGGATCTCCTGCCCAACCACCGTACCCGACAAATCTGGTGACAGCAGCCATGTCCCCCGTCAGGCAGCGTCGTGCCTGCTACCTTTAGAAGGTGTCATACACCTAACAGGCACATACCCTGCGGGGACGGCCCCGCGCATGCCAACTCAGCCCTGCCAGTAACGGCTGCGACAGGTTGACAGTGATGGTTATACCCGTCCTGTCAGAAACCAGGGGGCTAGGGGCAACCGATTTCTGCTATAAGGAGCTTAGTGTCAAGGAGAACAGGTATGATCTTGATTATCTTCATCTTCAATATTCGTGCCATTTGCACTCTTAGCCTTTTTCTTCTCCTTGCTTCTCCTGTCAAGTACTAACTTAATCATCGTAGTGTTCCCGCCGGGTAACTCCCCCGGGACTCTTCTTCTTCTCAGGTATCTTCCAAGAGCCACGTGAGTGCCAGCTAGGAGTGGCCGGATTGCGCTACATCAACAAGTATGATAAATAATAATTATTTTATCAATGATATAAGTGAAATGCAAAATTTAAAACCAATTTCAAGATGAAACCATTTCCATATCTAGATGGTAGGTAGGTCAATGATCTAACATTCCGGGTCAAATGGCTCAATCTATGATGTCATAACTAAGTAACTAATATTAAATATACATACATACATACATACATACATACATACATACATACATACATACATACATACATACATACATACATACATACATACATACAT